ATATATATATATATATATATATATATATATATATATATATATATATATATATATATATATATATACATATATACATATACGTATATATACATATATATACATATATATCTACATATACCTATATATATACACATATAAATATACATATATATACATATACATATACACATATAAATATACATATATATACATATATATATATATATATATATATATATATATATATATATATATGTATATATACATATACATATAAAGAATTGCATCCACTCGTGAGAACTAAACAATGGAAAGAGGCAACGGTGGGGAATAATGCATACTCGTTGCTACATGGCGACGCCACCGGGGAGGGTAAGCTCATCCAATTGGGCGGTAACCTGATCTTTTTTCAGGGTTTGAACCGGCTCCTGGTCTCGGGTCGCGTCACCGCCATGTTGTCTATCAAAACATCTTGCCCCTTCTATCGCACGCCAGCCGCTCCCGTCGGGCTCTCGAGGTGCTTTCGAGGCGATGGTGGGGATTTTCTCCCGGATTTCCGTCGGATGGGGGCATCGTCGAGCTCAAAGCGCGATCGTGAGCATACCAGACCTCTTAAAATCGAATCTTTTGTTGGAATTTTTTTTTGGGGTGAAGAGATCGGTCTGTGTTGGATTGGATGGCTGGTCGTCCTTTTGCTCATTTTTCTGTTGCTTCTTGCGTTTTCTTGACGGTATTTCTTGATCTCCTTTGAGTTCTGATGTTTTGTTTTCTCTTCTCGAGGATTCCACGGTTTCTCGTAATCCTGTATGATTCATTTTTGAGCTTTCTTACCTTTAATCTTTTGGAGATCGAACAGTTCCCATGTTGATCTGTCGGATTGATTGACATTTTTTTTTCTCTCTGTTTTTCTTGTCAGATTTAAGAACTTGCTATTTCTTAAATCATTTATTGTCATATTTTAGGAAGGCTGTATTATTACTGTAAACCATCATATTTTCTTCTCCAATTCAAGTCATATTGTGCAATTGTGTTTTCCCTTTTGGTTTTCTAATGTGGATATTTACTTAGTCCAATATATTCTGCCTATATAGGTTCAATAAGATAATTTTACTGGTTTATATTTCGAGTATGCCAATTCATTTTCCTGGGCATGTTTATATAAAAAAGAGCTGATAGTTTATTTAAGCTCTCCAAATCTCTATCAAGTTCTTTTTTTCTTCCTTTTATGTGCTTTGCCCAATTTGATGTTCTCTTGAATATAATTGTTGTTTTGCTTTGTTAAAATCCTCATATATAAAAAAATTAGAGAACATTGATTATTAAAAGCAGGAACTTGATTTATCTAAATCCATGTTGGATGGAAGTGTGTTAACTTAAAGAAAATGGCTGTTACTTGGAAGTCATTACACTGTCTACCTTCTCTTATATTAAGTTATCGAGGAAATTGTCTTCCATTATCTTCCAATTTTAAGTGAATTCTTATGGACTAGGATGTGGCGACCCCATTGCCACCAAACATGGAGGAAAGTAGTTGTGTTCCTACTGCTGGAAGCCATGGATTTGAAGATGCAATTGAGTTTAAGCCAGTTGAGCACCCGTCTGAGCCCCTAGTTCGTGATCAGCCAGTTACATGTCCACAACCAGAACGCTCAATACTAAATGTAGGTTTGCATCCTTTTGCTCCTGTAGTTTGTTTTATCTGTCAGTTGCTCATGTGGTAATTATAATTGCCTTTTGTCATGTCAACATTATGCCGCCTTCACAATCCATCCTCCTGCAGACTCTGGATACTTGCTACTGGTTTGTCCAACAAAACATGTTGAGTTTGTAACGTAGATCTGTTTTTGGGTGCTATATTATAATAAGTCAAGCCTACAAAATTTTTGTGTCAACGTCTATATTTGCTTGCTATTCAATTATAAGGTCTAAGACACCAAGTCTTGAATATCATCCTAGGTTACATGATTATCGTATTGAAGATGTGATCAAATAGATAATATGATGGGTCGAACAAACATAAGAACATGGGAAAGATATGAAGCTCCTAAGACTAGCAATAGAAAGTAGGAACACGTGGCATAGGAAAGAATCTAGAATTGCTGAATCAGATGTAAAATGATAATTGCGGCTGATATATATGCTACCATTAGAATAAATGCCCAAAAGTTCCTTGTTTTGGCTAACAACCTGAGATGTAATTTGTTGGAGTCAAGGAGACATGACAAAGTCTTTCCTTTGTGCAAATTACTAATTTACTCGACCATAAAATGGATGAACAGAAGCTTTTGGATCCACGTCTCCTGATGCTATATCTGTCATAAACAACAAAGCTCTTCAGGTCAAATTCAAATTCATGACCCTGAGATAAATGGGGCCCATGCCAAACAAGACATAAAGGGAAGGCAAAGGAAAAGAACATGGGTAAAAGCGGTAAGCATAGATGGTAACAACCAGAGAAAATTTTTGAAACTGATACAATATTGGTTTTGACAACCTATTAAAATGGTACAATAGCGAGATATCAAGTGGTATACCAACGTATATCTTCCTGGACTTGAGAGATCCTCATAGGTCCTATTGTATAGACTAGAGGCCGCTTGATCCTGTAACAGCCATCATGACATCAGGCTAAGCTGGATCATTTTATTGTGTCCTCAGAGATCCTTCGGAGAAAATGTAAAATATCTCTGGCGAGAATTGGGGCTACTGTCATGGAATAAGCCTTGATATTTCTTTGTGGCCTTGCATGTCCTATA